CCTCGTCCCCTGCCCTGTCTCCCCTAATCCTCCCTTATTCCCTCTTCTTGTTCCCCTTTGTCCCCCCTCGCCCCTTTCCTGTGGATTTCTTGTGCCCCCTCGTCCCTTTCCTGGGGATTCCCTTTGTCCCCCCTTGTTCCCTGCCCTTGTTCCCCCTAAGCCCCCCTTATTCCCTCCCGTTGTTCCCCCTCGTGCCTCCTCGTCCCTTCCCTGAGGATTCCCCTCGTCCCCTGCCTTTGTTCCCTGCCCTTGTTCCCCCTAATCCCCCCTTATTCCCTCCCCTCGTCCCCTGCCCTCGTGCCCCCTCGTCCCTTTCCTGGGGGTTCCCCTTGTTCCCTCCTCATCCCCTGCCCTTGTCCCGCCTGTTCCCCGCTTGTCCCGTCCCCGGGGCTCCCCTGTCCCCACTCCCCTTCACCTCTCCCGTACGAGGCCGCCCTGGGGCAGAGCCGGGTGAGGGTCCTGCTCCCCCATTCCCTCCCCCTGGGTCTTTGAGCCCCGTGGAGCCGTTTCCCCCTAAGGAGCCTGGTAGTTTCAGGGGTCACGTTGAGAGGTGTGAACGGGTCTGCTTTTCTTAGAAAGCTGCAAACTCCCAAGGAAAAAAAAAAAAAGCTCTCCCCCAAAAAAGCCAACTTCTGTTTTCAGAATATCCATGGTTTCTAGATAACTACTTGGGCATGTGGTGTTTGTTTGTGCTTGCAAGCGTAGACCTTGAGGGAAGGTGAAGGTAGGGGAACGGCAGAGGTGTAAAGCTGAGCAGATCCTGTGTTTGCACGGTACCTGCAACACGTGAGCGTGTGATAACGGCTGGTTAAGGGAAAGTGGAGGGTATTATCTCCCATCTGGGGTTTTGTACAAAGCTTGCTCTCTTATGGGGGAAAAGGTACAGAAGCACGAGAAAAGGTTAAAGCGTGTGTTTTACTGGCACCAGGAAGGAAAGAATCCTCCCCCGGCCCGAAAGGAGATGGTTTGTGACTGTTTTGCATTCCCGACTTCCAGCCGCGGCTCCAAGAGCCCCGGCTGCGCTCCGTGCATCGCGCGCGGCCTCGGCAGCGGGGAGGCACCGTGGGGAACGCGCTCCGGAGCGGGAGACGGATGGGGCTGGGTGTCAGAGCGGGCTCTGCTTCGTGTCTCCGGCTCCCATCGGCTCGCCGCCCCCTCTTTGAGTGGCAAATCCGAGGAGAAGCTGCTTAAGCACCTGGAAAGAGCAGCTCCGAGCGGATTACACGGCGCTTTGGAGGGCGTCTCCCGCGCATACGGGCTGCAAACCCCTTTCTTGCCCTGCGCAGCCCGCAGCAAACACCGATCCAGACTTTCATCCAGCGACCTGTGCTGCTTGCAGGCATGGACATACCTGGGTGTCCTGTTGAGCGAGGCCTTGCGGAGGGCATGGAGACACAAATCTTGTCCAGCACCTCTTGCTGTCAAACCCTCCGTCCCTCCTCTCCGCACCCTGCCCCGTCCCGGGGCTGTGCTGCCCTTCGTGCCCTGTATCCCATGGAAAGGCTCTTTGGCCGCAGCCGGTGCTCCTGCTTTCTGGAAATGCTCACGTGGTTAATGGGATTCAGGATGCCTCCCAAAAAGGGGAAAGCAAACTTGGCATCTCCAGCCTCTCCGATGCTGCTGTTTTGTGCTGGCGACGCTGAGTCAATGGGAGGACGGGTGAATAAGCAGCTTTGTTTTGTTTCCTTCATAGCCAGGCTCTCTAGAACAAATGGCAAATGAGATTCTGCCTTTCCCAGGGCCCGCATAAAGGTGCCTGGCGCTTGGCACCCTGCGGAGCGGCGCGGTGGCTGTTCAGCGCCCTTATAAAAGCACATTGTTCTGGAGGAGTTTGAAGAGTTTCAATGAGATATTTCACTCTTGTCTTGTTCAACCGTCTCCCGTGTGGCAGCTGGGCTCGCGGGCTGCGGAAATCCTCTCTCGGCTTCTTCGCAGCCGTGCGACCCCCATGGAGGAGCCGCCGTCACAAGCGGCCAGTGTGGAGCACACAAGGAGCCTTGTCCTGGCCCGAAGGCCCCGCTCGTGTGCGCGCCGTGCACGGGGTCTCCTCGTTAACCCCCTCTTAACACCGCCTCCTTGGACTTAATTAGGCTGAGCTGGCTGGACCCTCCACAAGAGGGATGTGGAGCTGCTGGGGAGAGGCCAGCGCAGGGCTCCGAGGATGAGGAGGGGCCTGGAACATCTGCCCTGTGAGGAGAGGCTGAGGGAGCTGGGCCTGTTCAGCTGGAGAAGAGAAGGCTGAGAGGGGACCTGAGCAGTGTCTAGAAGTACCTCAAGGGAGGCCGTGAGGAGGATGGGGCGGCCTCTTTGCACTGGTGGCCACCGACACAACTAGAGGAAACGGCCCCAAACGGAAGCACCAAAAGTTCCACAGGAACTTCAGGAAAAATCCCTTCCCAGTGAGGGTGCCAGAGCCCTGGAACAGGCTGCCCAGAGAGGTTGTGGAGTCTCCTTCTCTGGAGATCTTCAAACCCGCTTGGCCGCAGCCCTGTGCCACGTGCTCTAGGTGACCCTGCGTGTGCAGGGGGCTGCACTGGATGATCCCTAGAGCTCCCTTCCAACCTCAACCATTCCACGAGCTCTAACGTCTCTTTTTCTGGAGCGACTGAGGTTGTCGTGGGAATTTGCACTGCCTGACGTAGCCCGGCTTTCTCCGCAGCTGCCTGTGTGTGGTCGGTGCCGCGGCGTCCGCGGTGCCAAGTGTCCCCTGAGGCTGTTCTGGAATCGAGCGTTGTCCCCCTTTGGGGATTTTTGCTGCCAGTCGGGAAATCTGCCCGCCGGGATGCGGAGCCGGTGCCCGTATCAGTGCCCTGTAGCCCTGGCAAGGACCCCAGGAGTGTCTGCATGGCCTTTTGCCAGCGTTCACCAAAAAGACACCCCTGTGTGTTTAATAAAAGAAACTATGCTTAAAAATAACCCAAAGTGCCCGCTTTGTTAGCAAAGGCCTCGAAAAGATGGCAAAAAGCTGAGCAAGGGGCTACTGGCCCGAAGCTTTGCTTCGTTTTAGGGGGAAACACCCAAGAGGCAGTAAATGCAAGTTAATTATTTTCCTGCAAACTGGAGCATTGTGTGGGCAACCTCTGTCCAAGGGTTTTTTTTTAATGTTTGTGTTTTATTTTCTCTTTAAAAAGAGCAAATAAATGCCAGGGAGGAGACGTTCTAACAGATGTCCTAGCCTTAGCAAGGAGTTGCCCTGATGTGTTTTGCAGGTTGCCTCGCTCCAAAGCTGGGAGATGGGAAGGGCTTGGAGGAAAGTCAAGGACAGAGGTTTCCTGCAGCCCTGGGTCCAGCTCTGCAGCACAGCGAGCAGCTTAGGGCAGGTTTGATGGGACCTGGAGCACCAGAAGCCGTGAGATTCATTCCTCTCTCCCAACCCTTGGCAAAGGCAAGAGCAGGTAAACTTAGAACAAATCAAGGAAAATCCTTCTCGAAACATTCAGTGCTCCAAGCTGAGGGAATCGCAGGACAGCTGGCTTAGTCTAGCCAGCGTTTCTAGTTCTTACGTGCTTATTCAAATAAGAACAGCTTAATCTCGTGGATTTGGCTACAAACAGACGGCCAAGGAGGCTTCTGCGTTGACAGGCTGCGTATGGTGTGGAGCAGAGCTGTTCTCTGAGGTTATTGGAGCTGGACGTGTGCTCGTACCACATACAGCAAATTCAGCACCCCAGGAAAGCTGGACACCTGGGTAAAAACAGCCTTTCTTAAAAGGACTGCAGTTTTCCAAGTCAAAGCAGGTTAATGTTCCAGGCTCTGGTTTCCTAAGGGGTGAAAAAACCAGCCTAAAAACAATCATGCTGATTTTTAGCCTGTGAGTCACCGTTTGGTTACACATCTTCCCATTCTGAATGACACAGACATGAGTCTCCAATTAGTTATTTCCATTCTCTCCGTGCTGTTCTCCAGTCACGCTGTGGCAGCTAAATCCTCCCACCCAAACTGCAGCGGAGCTGCCCGGCCTCGCGCCCTAGGTCACTTTTTTCTGCCTCCATCGTGTTGTTTCCAGCTCTTTGGGGTGCTCCATGTGCCCACGCTGGGTTTCAGGCTCAGGGTGGGTGGTTTCCACAGGCATCGTGCCGGCAGGGCAGTTGATTGACTTTAGTGACCTTTATATTTGTCTTTCCTCACAGTGTCTTTCTAATCTTAAATGCTAGAAGAACATCCGTGCTGAGAAGCACACGGGGCGGGTGAGCAAACCTGTGGAGAGACCTCTTGGAGAAGAAAAATGCCTTGTTCCCCCCTTTTTTTTTCTCCAAGAGCCCATCTAAATGCTCCTCCCTGGATCCGTTGGGAATGAGAGGAGCTCTTGTGTGCTGCTGTGTAACTCGGTGGCTTTTTCCGTCCTGTCTGCTGCGAGGAACGCGTTTGGGTTGGCCTGGGCACCTGCAGCTTCCCGTGAAGCCGCCGGTTCCGAGCGCTGGCCGTGGCCGAGCTCCCTGCGTGGGTAAAGCACCAGCACCCGCTCCACCTTCCTGGATGTGGCTGCTCCTTGGGAATGATCCCGAGGGCAGCAGCCCAGCTTATCGTGTTTCTGCTTTTCCCCTCGAGGGAGGGGATCCTGCCCCTCTGCTCAGCCCTGCTGAGGCCACATCTGCAGGATTGTGTCCAGTTCTGCGCTCCACAGGACAACAGGGCAGG